TGCTTATTTAGAGTTGAAACAATTACTTATTAAATCAATTAGTTTATCAACATAAAACCAGCCAACAGTTTGATTGGTCACTGAAATCATTTATCTAGCAAATATGTCAAATGTCACGTAAATCTTTAATTTCCTCTAGTGAAAATGCTTTCACTGGAAATATGATTTGTTACAGACTCATTAGAGCCCCTTTAATTTACAAGAATAGTTTGAAATTTTAGAAAATACCCTTATTCACTTTGTTGCCGAAATTTATAGGAGCAGATTTCCTCACCAATGAAATGATAAAAAATTTAAAGAAAAAATTTGCTTTGCTACAAAAGGCAACCACGCATCACTAATCATTAGCAAACACTGTTCTGTCTCTATTTCATTATTTTACATATATTAAAAATTAGTAAACTATAATGTAATATGAGTGTTACATAGGCTATATCACTGTTGATTGTTAAGAGTTTTTGTAATGTGTTAGTATGTCATGAAAAAGTCATATGCTGGCACTCAGTCATCAAAACTTTTAGAACCCCCCTTAAGATTTTTGTTTCAAAATAATCTGAAATGGTCAGTTTAGCTGTTAAGTTTATAAAGCTTTCTCCTGGGGGAAATCCACCTCAGACAGGTTGGGTTGCAGAAGGTGTCCACTAAAAATGGAAAAAAAAAAAAACTTTATATTGGTGTTTCATGTTCATTGTTGTGGAGTAGGGTAGCGGCTGAAGTCAACTCCTTATGTCACTTTAGAATTGCGGATAGGATACGTATGAAACGTAAGCCAACATTTTCTTCAGGCGATTGAGCAGGGCTGCTGGCTGTAGCTTCATTTTTATGTTACTGATCTTCTCATCACCTCCGAGGATGTTAAAACTCTTTCTCCGCTTAAACCAAGTAGTTTTACTTGCCTAAGCCGAAGCAAACATCAAACATAAAACAGCAGAAAAAAACATGTACGTGTGCTTTTAGAAGGTAACGTCTCTATGCAAACATATTTTGTTGTTTAGTTTGGAGGAGTTAGAGTCTGTGAATCACAGCCTCCTGAAGTAAAACCAGACCGTGACAACTCTTAGCGGTGGATCACTCGGCTCATGTGTTGATGGAGAACACAGCTAGCTACAAGAACTAATATGCAGGACACACTTATCATCAATACTTGAAACGCACCTTGCGGCCTGTCTGAGGGACACTTGGCCAACCATTTCCGTGGTTGGGGCTGTCACAGGTACCTGATGCCTTCGTCCCCCTAAGTGCAGAACAGTTGGCGGGATGCCCGTTGCATCAGTGCTGCCCCCGCTACAGTGACAGAGACAGTGAGATATAAAAACAGTGACAGAGACTGCGAGATACAAAAACACAAAGAGAGACACCTCTTTGTGTTTTTGTTGAAAGCTACTCCTGGGAAGTAAGATGACTCCAGTTTTTTCCACCATAATTAAGAGTAAAAATGCTGTCTTATATTTATGCCAATACAGTATTTGGCAGTTAAATTGAACTAAAAGAGAAAAAAAAAATGTGACAACAGAAAGCTGAGAGAAAAAGGGAATGTAGAAGAAAGGAAGTGCCACTGAGACTGGTCTGAACAGAGGGGGAGAGGACAGCAAGTCAGACACAGACGGCAGAGGGATGTTGGAGAGAGGAAGATGTGCAAAAGAGGACGGACAGGAAGGAGAATCAAGCGGCGGGAAAGCGAAACATAAAGAGAAGAAATGTCAGATGAAGGGGGAAAAAGAAGAAGAGGAGAAGAAGAGAGTTTGAGCAGGAGGAAGGAGGGATCTGGAAGAAGAGGGGAGATGATGTTGATGTTTGCTTGTTATTCCAGCTCTAATTTTCCCCCTGGAGCTCATTAGAGTCTGGAGAGAAACGAACCACAAAACCTTAAAAACCAACAGAGTGGAGAGAGAGAGAGAGAGAGAGAGAGAGAGAGAGAGAGAGAGAGAGAGAGGGGATAAGCATCCAAAGGAAATAAAACATAAACAAATGGAAAAGGAGGAAAGAGAGAGCAAAAGGGACAGGGGAGGCAAAGAAACAAGGAGCCCTAATCGATTAGATTTAGGGAGAATAAGATAAAGAGAAACAGAAGATTATAGTATAGAGGAGACAATAACAAGAGAGACACATATAGCGAACACCACCCACCATTACACACACCAACACACCTGGGGCTGTGTGTGCTTCTGTTTGCTTTCAGAAGTTATGCCAGCTTCCACAAAATAAACTGCCAGGCCAGGCTTAAAGGAGGTTTAAGAAAAATAAAAGTACCATTTAAATTTTATTGATTTCATCAGAGCAAATAAATAAGAAAACAGTAGATAAATTGATTTGATTGATAATAATAATAATAATAATCATAATAATAATAATAATCATAATAATAATAATAAATAAAATACCTTTTTTAGCGGTAGGTTTTTTATATAAGTAGTAGTCTCAGCTTTTTCGCCACAACTTGGTTTGACCCAAAACAAAAACAAGAAGCATGTTTTTAATCAGAAGAGCAGAACGGCAGCCTCAGATTTCCACACACAATCACTAGTAAGTTTCTCTTAGAATATTTTTTTCTTTTATATAACACTGAAGTACGGAAATACAGATATTATAGTCATCAACCAGATTCAGTTTTCAGTATTAGTATTATCATTATTATCATCATAATACCAGTAGAATAGAAATGGTGGCTTAGATTTCGATATATTTATATATCCATTTGTATATATACTGTGTAAATTTATATATATGTATATATGTATGTACATATACATATATATGTATATATATATTATAGAGTTCGTGGTTGTTGGTTTCAGTGTCCAAAGTCCAACATTGAAGAAAAGCAAGGAAGGATCCGTGCTGGGAGGCAAACGAGTACAGCAGCAGATAAAGTACAGACATGAGGAAGGAGAGGGAGATGGAGCGTTGAGGGAAGGAAGAGAGAGAGGTGAGTGAGGGGATAACAGAAGTATACAAAAAAAAGAAGAGAGAGAAATCTGCACTTGTGGGTAAACAGCATAGTTGAAGAGAGAAGAGGATCCTAGAGAGGAAGGGCTACAAATCTGAGAAACAGCAGCGGTGATGGAGTGAGAGAAACAGACTGAGGGAGGGGGAGATGAAGGTGTGGACAGAGGAGGGTGGGCAGGATGGGGGGGGTGGTTCGAATGTTTGCGTGGCTACCAGAGAGATGACAAAAACACTGAAGGAGCAAGGTACAGCAATACTTTCAGTGTGACTTGTATTGTTACCAAACTTAGGTTCACTTGGTATAGTCACAAGAGAGTTAAGTATTGCGTACACAGCTGGAGATAGGGGTTTTATTAAGTCTACATTTAACAGTTTACCTGAAATTCCTGTTATTGTAACCTGTACATATACGTCATACTTTTGCTCCATACATTTTCAGTAGAGAAATGTAAAATTGCATTTTTCTGTAATGTTTTTGGAAAGATTGTGCTTGCAGCATAATCAGGGAAACTCAACTTGCTTTGCGCAGGGGACACTTTTGCAAAATCACAGATGCCCAAAGGCAGCTAAGAAACAAACATTAATAATGTTTATCAGTATATATATATATATATATATATATATATATAATAAATGAATTGCCTGTCTCCAGTCTCTCAACTCTTGATGTCCTCACTCATCCTTGCCAAGAGGCAAATCCAGTGGAAGCAGCCTTGTGCAGGTCAGGTGTATGAAGGGGCGCCTCTAGGATTTCAGGACATTTGGGGCTTAGCAGAAACCCCTGTTGGGGGGTCCAGGGCAACCACCCCAGTCACTTTTTGATAAACAAGCTCTACTTTGATGCTTTTTTCATGTACTCTGGTACCTTATTTACATTCAAAGTACAAAAAATTATCAGTTTATCTTCATTGTGAATAAGAAAATGGTAGGTGGGCCAGTCGGAATCCTATCGCAGACCAGATCTGGCCCACAAGCTATAAGTTGAGTATCAGTGTTCTAGATGGCAGATACCAACTCTGTCTCCTCCTGTCTCCTTTAGTTTCTATACTACTCGTTTGTTTTAGTGATTACACTTTGTACAGAAGCATAACTGCTGCCTGGAGTATAGTAGAAAGCGCTACATTTCAACGCATTCTTACTCCCAGCTCATCAAATACTGAAGCTTGATCAGTGGCACGTCACACCAAAATATGACCAACTAGGTACCCCTCCTGCATCAGTTTTGCAGTAGGAGTAGCTGCTAGCTAAATGCATACAGTCTTTTTCAAAATAAACATATAATGTAGGTAAAAAAAAATGCTGGAGAGTCAGTGCAAGTATATTTTATAACTACTCTCATTTTTTTTTTTTTTTTATGTTGTCAAACAAGGAGTCCGCCAGTGTAGGCTAATGTGAGTGAGAGGAGGAAAGTCCAGAGTGAGTGATTAGTTAACCGCAATGATCGCATCATCTACACTTATCAGTGGGCCCTTTAGAGATGAACTGCACATCACCTGGAAAGTGGACGAGAGCAGGCAGCTGTAGTAGGAGGCGGTGACAACAAGCTGCGGTCAAGTCAGAGGCTGAATCTAAATATCCACCCTCTGGACTTGCAGCCTGAGCCCTCACGGACTTCAGCTGTACATAGTGTGACGTATTTACTGTCATCACGTAAAGTCTGCGTGAACAGAGGCTGCAAGCGGCTGATAGACAACCTTCGCAGACTGTTGTACTCGTTGCCATGGAAACGTTGAACTAACGCTGCTGTCATATTCATGTCATATAAGATGATGAATAGTGCCTACTCATCTGTTCCTGAAGATAACAAGAAATAAATCCCATGTATAGACTTTTTTGTGACTGAACAAAAATGTATTAATATATCTCTATATAGCAGGCTACACGTTCAAAAACAGAAATGTTTGTAAATAAGGACAGGACTATAACTCAATAAATTGGGCATTACTTAACACATTACAATCATTAAAATATTATCAGTATCCTATATCAGTTTGTTCTCAGTCCCCAATTGTTTTAATTATAATAGATTAATTTATTAAAATGCTTTACAGGCACTCTTTAATTTATGTTCATGGTTCAACCTCCATTTTACATGAATTCTCATGTAAATCAGCATCATATCAGTTTGCTGTTGCCTTAACTACAGAAGCTAAATAAATTGTGTCTGACTATAAGATTAATATTTTCAGAGGAAAAAAACCCAAAACAACAGGTTTAATCAAAGATCTGTCAGATATAGTCAAGGCTTCACATCTGTACAGTTGTTATTTTAAGAATCCTCACATCCCACGGACCACAAGTATCTGTCATGCTAAATACTTCAATAATTAAAACAGTCAAATGTTAATATAAAGTAAACTACATATAGTTTACGATACAGTTAAAATGTGAATGTGAATAATTGCATTGCAGGACCATTTATCGTGGGCCCCTAAATTTGACTTTTCATTTCACATGGGACAAAGATAGCTGGCTCCTGACTGAAAGTCCCAAGTTTGTTTGACCCATCCACTCGCACCTGCCCTACGTTGACTCTCTCCTACTTTATAATATAGCAGTTGCCCAGAGCATCAGAAAATTATGCCACCTGGGGCATCTCATAGTCTTCATGCTCAAGGGTGCCTCTGTGGGTCGGTGTCTGATGCCAACAGGCCACTGACTGGAATTTGACGAGTTGGGAGTGAGGCTGGGTTGTACTTTTTGTACCGCACATGGGTTGTGTGGTAGAGGACTTCGACACCAGACAATAACAAACTGTCTTGGTATCAGAGTTTCCTAAAAGCCAATAATTATTATGAGAACTATAAAACACAGCTTTACAGGGAATGCAAATGTGTCCCAAGCACCTGATTTTGTGATCAGAGTTGAGTATTTCCCCTGTAAAAATTCTGGTTTGGCTTTGGGATAGAGGCTGATCCAAAATCAGTGCAGTTGATGTCAAGCATGGAAAAAAAAAACTACAAATAAAGCCACAGTAAATGGGAGGGGAGCAGTTCTTCAAGAAACATTCTTCAAAGCTTATGTTAATAGAGGTCATGAATGAATGAATGTGGAGGAGGGAAAGGGGGCTTTACACTCGGGCTTTAGAACACTCTGGAACATATAAATGATCAATTGCGTCTTTCAGCTGAGAATAAAAAAAGTTTTGGCTGTCCAAAGCTGCAGTCAAGCCACAGAGAAAACAGAGGGAGGAAAGGGTGGATGAAAGGATGGGTGAAAGGAGGAAGGGAAGTGAAGAAGCTGGCCATACACTTTCATGTACTGGCTTCGTATTTCTTCTCTCATTTTACCATTGTATAATCGTTCTATGTCATGCTCATACACCTCTCTAACATCCCCCATCCTTCCTCTTCCCTCCTCCCTCTGCAGCATCCCGAACAGAGTCCGTTGTTACGTTCCCTCTTCTTTTTCTTCTTTTCCACCATCTTATCCGCGTTCTTTTCTCTTTCCCACACCCCTCTTCTTCCTCCGACTGCCTTTTCCCCTATCGTCATCATCACACTTTCCATCTTCCACCAGTTCCTCCTCCTCCTTTGTTTCCACCCCCGCTCTTCCTCTTCCTCTCGCTCTTTCTCTACATGGGGAACACCAGGAAGCCAGAGAAGGTGGAGTATTTCCATCCTCCCATTAGGTTTCCTCTCTCCAGTTTGAGGTAGGCCCGGTCTCCCTTCTCCATCTGGATCAGAACCCCATTACTGGCCGCCTCACGCGTCACATCCTGGTCGCCAGCAAACGCTGAAATCACCGGCCAGCCGTTGTGCATCAGGCTCACCTGTAGGAGACGGGAGAGGACAGCCAGTTTATAGAATGAAAAGAGGATAAAAGAGACAGACACTCAACACGGACATATTTTTAGACTTTCTTGTTGAGCTGCAGGATTTAAAAAAAACAAAATTTCATTAGCAAGTACATGCAGAATGCATGTGGTGTATGATAATACAATGGGATATAATATTTGCATGGAGCAGCTTTTTACTGTGCAGTCATTATCAATAGATATATCATGTGTTCTTCCCTTTTTTCAGTTACCACTTGGAGCAGATTTAACAGTGACTTAGAGAGACATTCACACACAAAGACACAACAGACCCACACTGTTTCTGACTCAACAAATGTTTCAATGGGGAATAACATCTTCGTCTTACAAAGAGAAGTAGCTGTCAGCGATGTGTCCCCTCCCTTTCCCAGGCCAGCCAACATACACACCAGACGAAGGCTTTCATCACTTCTCTTTTGAGCAACAGCAGAAATACAAGCATTCCCTGGATTTGCTTCCCCCGTATGCTTCACTAAGAAATGGTTTTATACTACCCCTGGCACCCATGCAGTGCTAAAACAAACTGAAATGAATTTTGCAGAAATGTCTGTTTATGCAGGATCACACTTTATAAAACCTGTGAGATTACTCGGCTTCCTGCGAGCAAACTCGCTGTACCTTGATAAGAAAGGTGGAACAACAGGGGGTTTGTGTTCTCCTGCAGTGGTTGTATGCTACAAGACTGTGACTATGTGATGACTGATTTAGCTTCAGGAGGGGGAGAATATGAAAAACATTTTTTTGTCAGTTATGTCATCCCACTTTGTAAATTGAGGCTCATATTCTAATTCCTCTGTAAATGTGATAAATGGTATTTCTGGTTTAAGACTGCCAAAAAGCATGAACTATTTATGAAGGATCACTGATTTGACAAATGTTATGTCTGCAAAAGTTCTGATCTGATGCCCCGCAAGACGACATAATCTGGCTTTGCCCTCCAAAATCAGTATAAATCACAATAACAATCACAATTGATAAATATGGTGTGACAGTGCTGTGGTTAAGGTTTGGTTAGGTTTAGGTACAACAGGGTGCTGCAGGGAAAACGTTTTTCTGTAGGCTGATGCAGATGTTACCGTCACCCTGGTTTCATCGTCAAAAAGCCAATGGGATTTTTTCATTGGGTTTCAGATTATTGCAGAAAATAACCTCTGGGACAAACAAAAGTTCATGATATTTGCACATTTTTTCAGCAAGATCATCTTCACAATGTAACACCACTTTAATTATTTCTTAAGCCCACATGCAATCGACAGACGTAAAAGGCTAACGTTTGGCTTTAAACTATCTACATTACAGTTGCTTGACATAACATGAGAACCAAAACAAGGTGGTAAAGCCATGTTTGGTGTGATGTTTTTCTGTAGTCTCATTTAGTCACTTGTTGGGCATTTATTTTAAGTATTCAATGTCATAGAACATTTAAACAAAAACTCATCCAAAAAGCCTATTGAGTTCAAAACGAGGGAACTAGGAATGCTGAAAATCTAAATTCTGGGTTTTAGGACTCATTCCTGCACCACTCTGTAATGACTTGGTTGAGTTTGGGAGAGAGTTAGGGTTTGGCGATAGGGTTAGAGTTAGGGTTAGGGCATCAGCCAATACCAAGTACCAGTACTGTATTAGTGTTAAATTAAAAAGATAACATCAGGCTGGGCTTAAACAAGGCTTTCCTAACTTTGTCAACCAAAATTTAAGAAATGAGTGCATAGATATAAATTATTATATAGAGGGCAGCTATGGCTCAGTGGTAGGGGTTGTCCACCGATGCGAAGATCAGTGGTTCGATCTCCCGCTCCTCCAACCCGCATGTCAAAGTATCCTTGGGCAAGATACTGAACCTCCAATTGTTCCTGATGGCTGTTCTATCAGTATGTGAGTGCGAGGGAATGGTAACTGAGTAGCAGGTGGCACCTTGTATGGTAGCGTTTGCCACCAGTGTGTGAATGTGTGTGTACACGAGTGAATGTGACATTGAGTTGTCGGAAGACTAGAAAAGCACGCACCAGTAACTTTGTTGAAAAAATCTTTATTAACAGCAGGTAGCTGTAGAACCTGCAATTAGACATTATGTTAAAACAGTGCTTGGTTTTGTTTAGGGAACAACAACAAAACAATAATAATCAAACAGTGCAAACAGTGCAAACAAGCAAACGGTGGTCTCCTGTAAGTCTGGTGTTTTGTTGACAAGGTCATCCACACTGACCTCCTCCCTACACTCTATAATACTACCACATGACTTCCTTCCTTCGCTCCCATCATAATCACTACGGCCTCTAGAAGGCTTTGTCACTTAAATGCAAAACATATGTTAATTCTGGGCACTTGCCGAAACAACTGATGCTGTCATTCCTCCTGAGGGGGCGGTCTCATTGCATTGAATTGCTCACATGGAAGGATGGATTGCATTAGCAATACCAACAGGTGTCCATAATCCTCCCACCACTTTTTTGTCATTTTTTTAACTTTAACAATGGCACAGAAAATGTCCGTCTCCTGTACAAAGACACAACCATTACAAACCCTAATGTACCATGCTGACATCCACCTTAAAGGGAAAGTTCCCCCAAATCATAAAAACATATTTTTCTTCTTACCTGTGGGGCTTTTTGTCAATCAAGATTGTTTTGGTATGAGTTGCCAAGTGTTGGAGATATCGTTGGTAGAGGTGTCTGCCCAATAAAATGTAACTAGATGGCACTCGGCTTGTGGTACTTAAAGCGCCAAAAAACAAATACATTTGCAAAACAACAGCAATGTCTATTTCCACATCTCATGACCAAGTTATTAAAGATAATTCACAGACCTTGTTGGGAGCAGTTTCATGTAGGAACTATTTTCTGTCTACCAAACTACAGCCACCAACCACATCACAGAAGGAAGCATTCATCTACTGATGGATTCAATTCAATTCAACTTTAAAGCCCAATATCACAAATCACACTTTGCCTCACAGGGCTTTTCAGCATAAGACATCCCTCTGTCCTTAGGACCCTCGCAGCGTACAAGCTTTAACATTAGCTAGCTCAGTGGTGTTAGATGTGTAGATTATCTTGAGTGATCCAGTGATGATTTCTGGAAAGAGACATTGCTGTAAAGTTGTTTTTTTAAATAAATCTTTATGGCACTCTCAGCACCACAACCCATGTGCCATCTAGTTCCATTATATTATACCCCTTTTCCAGCGTGTGTACGCAGGTTTTTTTTACACACAGGAAAACTTTATGGTGGTTTCTTCGTTTTTATATCTCTTAGTCATTCAGTCTCTTTTTCAAACTGCAGACTAATTTGGAATGATATTTGAGTCTTGCTTAAGCGGAGACACACAGTATTTCGTGGTAACGCATCATTGCATCTCGCTGGTAAAGGAGCACATTCATCAGGGTGTTATGTTTCCATCAAATACCCATGTCTGCTGCAGAGTCAACTTTCACATTCCATTAAAAAGCCAGATGTTAGCGGGTGTTGGTGGGTTTTTTGTGCAGTGGAAAAGGAGCTTTGGAGAGAAGGTAGACACCTTTACAGCTGATAACTCCAACACTTAGCAACTCACACCAAACCAATCTAGATTTATAAATAGCACTACAGGTAAGAACAAAAACATGATTTTGATTTTGGAGTGAATTGTCTCTAACCACCACTCAGAGGTCTGCATCACAGCAAAGTGGTTTTTTTTAACACTTCTTGTCCTTTTTTCTTACTGCAGTAGTGTCTTATTATTTCATTAAAGACTTCACCCAGTGTATGTTAGCAGTGCATTTGTTTCTTCACATTATTTAAGCAGCATGCAGAGCTTTCAAGTTTCATGATTCCACAGAAACTCACATCTGAGCTCCAAATATGTCAAAATATTTCTCTACCACCTAGAAGTAAGTAATTGTAAAACTGTTGCTAAGTGATGGAACACAGTCATAAACATCCCATAATTATACACTTATCCACCTCATTCTACCCTGATGGTCAGGAGAGAGAGGGAATATGTATGTGTGTGTGTGTGTGTGTGTGTGTGTGTGTGTGTGTGTGTGTGTGTGTGTGTGTGTGTGTGCAGAGATGGAGAGCCTGTCAGAGTCAAGGGCTCTCTTGGCCCAGCACTCCTCTTAATAGCAAACTGAACATAGCACTTCTGACTGTATATGTGTGTGTTGTGTGTGTGTGTGTGTGTGTGTGTGTGTGTGTGTGTGTGTGTGAACAGCCAGTCTGTGAATTTGATGAAAACACTTAGACTGTACTTAAACAATTTTTTTAAATTATCAGGGTTGAAACAGTGCAGGTCATGGCAAAATTCACATATTACTGTGGTGAAAATGAAGTTAGTTAAGGCTGCAACAAATTTAATAAAAGAGGTTGTGCTTATTATTATTATTTACCCACTATTCATGTACACTGTGTAGTTTATGCACCGTAAACAACTGAGACTAACATGAGGCCAGGGAGGCATCACTCAGTATACGATGAGAGAACATTGTTTTGGCTGTCTGACATGAACTTGGCTCCTGCTGAACACATCTTGTACTGTGGGGGAAAATAACTCTCCTCCTTGTGCATGTTTATTCAACTTCCACTCTTCAGTTGACAGTTTTTTACTCCCTCCTCTGCTCCATATTGGTCCCTTTCTATGCAGTTTGGAGACGGCACCTGGTCACAGTCTTTAAAACAGTGACATAAAACACTTCTCGTGGACAAGGAGAGGTCGCCAAAGTCAGCAAGTTTCAAACTGTACTTGTAGCAGCTTTATTGCGAATTTAAAGGCATAGTTCAGATCTTTTGAAGTGGGGTTGTATGAGGTACTTATCCATAGTCAGTGTATAACATAGATGATAGTTGATGTTACTGGCACACCCGCAGTTTGGAGAGGGAGGCTGGAGTCTAACACAGAAACAAAGCAATGTACTGCTGTGGAGAGGTTTAGCAGCAAAACCTATTTTCATATCCTACAAAAGAAATACCAACTAAAG